CGAATTTCTAAGAACGTCGCCGACGCTCACGTTTGCTACCAGAGGGAGTGACCCAAGGACCTTTGTATAATATGGGATTAGAGTGTCATTGGATACAATTGATGTAGTCACAGCTGTCAGGCTCACTGCGCCTTTATTAAGGGCGGATCCCTGTGAGCTGAGGACTTCGGTCAGGTTGGCGATCATCGTACCTATGTCGAGCACACCTCTCAAGGGGAATGTGTTGTTGCCTGGTCTAAGGGTGACATCTTTCACCGTCGCACTGCCAATTACTAGGTCTGTATTGCCGCTCTTAAGGTCAAGAGTGATGGTGCCAACTTCAAAGCTGAGCGCGGTTGGGTTTGGAAGTGTTATATTGGCAACGAGGTTGGATCCGTCGTCTTCTACCGGTAAGACAAATGTGCTATTTGCGATGGAGAAGCCTTTGAACTTGTTTAAAGCTATATTAGAGCTTAGCGAATGCTCAAATACCACCCTAGTGGAATTACTTACTTGGCATCACCACGTCTTTATCCAACACAATGTGATTTTTCAGAACCCCGAGATATCCAGTGGTCACTCCATATAGCGATAGTGATGTTTCCTTTTGGAAGACCGCTTGCCTCACAAAGGTCTCCCAGGAAGTAAGATTGAGGATTGGCGTCAACTGGTCGGTGACTCCAAGTGAATGATTCCCCTTGATTGTTTGCCCGGGGATCTCAATTCCTGCATATGCATTCTCATGACCCGAAGAGCGCACATATGTATAGAAGACGACGGGATCAAGGCGAACGCCTAGTGCAAGCTTCAAGTTTATCTTTGCTTCTAGAGTCATTCGTACGGTATCTGGTGTTGGGTGCATCACTTCGGCATTGACGATTCGCAGATCTGATTTGTTGACAACCAGTTGTGCGATGGCAGGAATTGCGACCAGAAAGCTTTGGGAATGTTGGTTTCAATAAACACTTAGCAAATGAGTCACGTAGCTCTTTCACTTACAAAACAGGCAAGAAAATAGCCAAGAAGATCACATTGGCGATGAGGTAGATGCACCAGAATCGCCTGCAATGCCGACGGAATCGATTCTTTCTTGACGTCGAGCTCACCGAGGATCCAACTTTCTCGAGCTTCCCAGACTCATCACGTTCTGGGTTGAGAATCCCTCGGTTGGCCCCGATGATATACTTTCCCATGCCCACCATGATGAAGTCGTCAATGGAGCGAAGAATCCACCAGGAAATCTAGCTATATAGTCACCACACTCTGATGGAGCTATCATATGTCTATGAAAAAATGCCTCGGACCAAACTCTTTAGTTTTATAACATCGCTTCCTTTCTTTTGCGGGGGATCGCCGTCCTCTTGCGCCATGTGTAGTATATGAAGTACATACAATATAACATGAACGACTTTGCGGTGCGTCTCTGACCAATAGACTAGGTAATCTCTGTCAGAACCGGTCGGATTGGAGCTAGCTTCATGGCTAGTTTGTGATATTGCTTTTGATATCAAAGGTATATCGTATCATCTGACGGCATCTGGCATACTAGATCCAGTTCAAATCTGGCCAGCCTTATTGTAAAAACGGACCTCGGGACAGTAGATTTTTACACAAGCGGCTTGAGTGATACAGGTCTGAGCTGTAATAATTTACCTCAATGGGAGCGTGCCTGGCCCCTTGACACACTGGGCACCCCCGAACACGTTCATGTTCATGGCCACCGGCTTACATTGTGTAATTAAACTTGCTTTTGATTTCTATTAATGTAGATTCTTGAACACTTTTACTGAGTATTACGCAGTTAATTCCATATGCGGGGGTAGCATTATTTGGCCTTGAAACATGCAAGACATGGACCTGGGTACAGGATGTGCAACTCTGCACTCAAATATAGAAACATCAGAATTGGGCTGTCTACTTTTTCACATGAGCCACTTTGCACCTCCGACCAATATCAAGGAAATAAATAGGGATCCCAAGGAAAGTCTCAGTGGACTCCAGTGACCCCTCTTAGTGGCGTATCACTTACATGTATTAGACAAAAAAGCCAGAAATGCCAAAAAGGCCAGAAAGGCCCAAGCATCCACCTATTATGACTGGTTCGATCTTCTAGTAGCTGGGAAACATCAAACCGGTTCGCACAGACGAAGCAAGGACATTGATACTCCCGCAATGACCACTTTCCCCGCATTTTGAAGTTCTATATTGCACTCGACCTTCCTATGATATGAGATGAACCTGCACTTAAGAATGCTGACTGCTTGGCTATGTATCTATGAGAATTCTAGGTCATCATTTTCCCGCTTTGTAAAGGGGTATCTGCCTCTTTATCTACGCTAAGGCTTCACAAAATACCAGCTTCTTCAAGATCAAATCCACTAGATAACGCGAATCCTATGTATATCAAGGTTACTATGGTGTTTTCATCTTAGCGTGAATAGTAGTTGTGCATAACAACTAGGATGTTTGACCTCCCAGTTAGCATTACGGAGACCAAAGCAGGAGCTATTATAGCTGTCGTGGCAGGACATAGCTGTGACACAGTGGGAGGCACTATGAAACAAGATATCTTATTGATCTAATCTTCGACCGCCTAAGAAAGGCACATTGAAAGTGAGTATTATTCAGTTCATATCCCTCTCAAAGGCTTTTCCAAGACCCATCGGTCCCTACAAAGGAAACCTGGAGGTATACGTTCCCAATTCGGCAACCCCGGGAATTCCCGTGGATCATGCTGAGTCAGCAGGGCATCTGACAAAATCCCCTGCTGGCATCAACATCCTCCGTGTGAACCAGACAAGAATTGCATGGAATAATTGAATCAATTTACACGGTCACTACCTATTTCAAGACTGGAAAGAAGTTGGTTGGATGTGCAGCTCTTTAATTTCCCACGACATCCGCCAAGGGGTTCATCAAGCCCATCCAATTATGCGAGCTAGCCGCAACAGACAATCTAGCAACCTTGAATAATTTCATTTGATTGTTATAAGAGAGCAAAACCGGGAAAAAGCCAAAAAAAAGCCCCAAAAGGAAATGGCTCTCTTTGACTCTCCAGCGCGAGTCTTCCTCGCAGCAACAGCCCTTCGTCTCGTCCTCCTCGTCTATGGAGGCTGGCAGGATGCGCACTCTGCCGTGAAATACACCGATATCGATTACATGGTGTTTACTGATGCTGCGCGCTACGTTTCGAAGGGCGAATCGCCCTACGCTCGCGATACTTACCGCTACACACCGCTCTTGGCGTGGATTCTTCTTCCGACTGCGTGGCAGAGTGCCGCGCCTTGGTCAACACTGACTTTCGCTTTTGGGAAAGCGCTGTTTGCACTGTCTGATGTCCTTGCTGGATGGCTCGTTGTACAGTTGCTGGTTCAGTGCCACCACTTTCCTGTTGAGCGCGCTCTGCGATACGTTGCCGCTGTTTGGCTGTGGAATCCTATGGTTGCCAACATCAGTACTCGTGGTAGTTCGGAAGGGCTACTCGGCGTGCTGGTTGCATCCCTTCTGTGGGCAACTTTGACGAAGAAGCCTATTCTTGCCGGGACAATCCTAGGTCTTGCTGTGCATTTCAAGATTTATCCGTTCATCTATGGTGTGTCCATTCTCTGGTGGTGGGATGCCGAGCGTGACGGGTCTGTGACGACCGGCTCAGGACTGCTGTCAAAGGCTTTGGGGTTCATTACCCGGTCCCGGGTGAAGCTTACTGCCGCAGCACTGGTCAGTTTCGTGGCATTGAATTTCGTCATGTACCTCCAGTATGGCCAACCATTCCTCCATCACACATTCTTCCACCATCTTACGCGCATCGATCACCGCCACAATTTCTCTCCCTATAGTACACTACTCTATATGTCTGCTGCCGGTGGGGCCGAAACTCGATTTGAGGCACTGGCCTTCCTCCCGCAGTTAATCCTTGCTGTTGTTGCTTTGCCCCTCGTCCTGGCAAAGAAGAGCTTAACTACTACGATGCTCGCGCAGACTTTCACTTTTGTGACTTTCAACAAAGTCTGTACTAGTCAGGTATGTGTATTGATCCGAAATGGTGATACTGGTTGTTAACCTCCCCAGTACTTCCTCTGGTATCTGATCCTGCTTCCGTTTTACCTACCATCGTCCTCGCTCATCCGCAAACCGACTCTGGGCATATCAGCAGCGATCCTATGGATTGCCGGACAGGTATGTATTGTCTATTGATGCTCTGATACCATAATTTGCACCGGGAAATCCAACTCTGACAAAACATATAGGCCCTCTGGCTGCACCAAGGTTATAACCTCGAATTCCTGGGACTGTCATCATTTGTACCTGGGCTGTTCCTCGCAGGGCTTTTCTTCTTCGCTGTGAACGTCTGGATTCTGGGGATCATCGTTCGGGATGGAGGGGAGGGTGCCGATGAGACCACAGTTGCATTCAAATGGTGTCTTTACTAGAGATGTATACATGTTTACATGTATTACCTAAAAGCAACGAAGTTTGATCACGAAGATATTGAACTACATACAATACAACAATACATACAGACATACCCTATGTCTTAAAGAAGCGATATGGCCCATTGCCGAGAAAACTGAGTCAACCGGTGAAAAAGGACCATGATCAGCTGGCTCCTCCGATTCGGCGATTAACTACCTTGATCAACGCGTAGTATGGCAAGGCGATGGTGCTCCTGTACTCCAACAGCAGTTGAACGATGATGAGCCGGAAAAATAGCGCGATAAGAAAGTACGCACTGAGGATGGCTTGGGGTTTCATTTCTCCGATTCAGAGAAGAGCTCAACTCTCAGGCAATTACGTACTCTGACGGACTGATCAGGGAAAAAAAATAAGAAGTATGAGTCAGGTCATGCGTCGAACGGCACATAGCAGCCCATATATCTTCTCGAAATGAGATCCACCAACGTGGTATCAGAAAGAAAGGGGCAAGTTTTGAATGCTGATTGGAAAATCGCTGATATGAAAGAAACAAAGACGGGGTATCATGCTGAACAAGAGGAGGAAACAAGGAGAACCAGGACATGACCCTAGTAAGGGTTGGAGTTATCGGCAATGAGGCTGTACATACTCACTTGGATACCTAGGGGGCGAACTCGGGGCATCAAGGCGCCAACAATTTGCTGGTCGTCGTACTCCGCGTATATCCCATCAGTAAGCTCGACAAATGAAGCCGATGGTCGGTTGATGCGCAAAGCTTCCAGGATGTCATCACTCCACAGGCCTGTGCACTCGTTGTTCAGAAGTTGAAAATAAGGGTTCAGAGGCGGACAGCTTGAGTCAAGGTCGATGAAACGGATCCTCAAGTACTCCAGGGCAGGGAGTACGGAGAGACACTCCACTGCCTTGATCACCATTGCTTCGAATGCGCGAATGAATCCCATGCTGGTAATTCCACCTAATCCCTGACTCACCTGTGACCAGTGATGCGACGTATGCACCCGCTGGTCATGACAGCATGCCTTGACTACAATATCCATTGATCTGAGCGGAGAACAAGAGCCCATTGTCATTGCCCGCTGCTTTAATGTCTCAAAGAAGTACCAACACACTCGACCAGTGTAGGTAAATGACTCTAAACGAGGAGCTGTATCACCAAGCAGACTGCAGATCGGAGGAAGTGAGTTTCGAGGTCCAGTCAGCCCAGTTAGCAAACTATTATTGTTGTTGTAAAATCCCTCCAGACTGAGATTGATGTGTCGGATTCGAACTGGTGGGTAGGTCAGGATGTGTATCATGATAAAGTAGGCATTCAGATGTGGTTGAGTCCAAGCACAATGCCATTCACTCAACGCTGGCAATGCCCGTTCAATGTTGTGCCAGTCGTCAAAATGTCGCATCAGATTCCAGGCGCCTCGCATGACAAATGTTTGTATGTTTTTCAGAACAGGAAGGCGCCGGTGGACAAGACCCTGCATACTGTATATGCTGTGATCATGACGAAAATGTCGGATCATAGGTGGGTTCTTGCAGTGGCCTCCCTCCAGTGTGAGGACTCGCGCGGCGGGAAAAGACCGCCGAACAAGACTAAAAATTTCCTCCAAGGTAGCGTTGTTGGTTGCACGGTGATAGCGAAGGATGTCTTCCCCCCGATGATGACCATGAGTCAACTGCACTGGTACAACACGTCCAGCTGTTTGAGCAGCATCTTGCTCCACATCCGAGCGAGGAATGTTAGGCCATAGAGACCGATCTCCCCAGATAGGAACCCAAATGTCAATGTGGCAGACATACGGAATCAAATGCTGATTTTTGTTGAACCACCGTGCACAGTCGGCCAATTCTGCTCTGCTGCCCTTAATTCTGACTACATAAACAGTCATTCATCAGTACAGCCCCCTTGAAACCAATATATACAATCAAAGGGAACTCACTATGGCGGTAAATGCGGCTTTGAACAAGTCCAGTCCACATTCGGCAAGTCAAGGCTAAGTTGGATAGGGCCTTTCGACGCGGATGACGGAGAGCCTTGGTCCAGTTCTGAGCAGAGGATTTACCATATGATGTATGAACACCAGCTGAGGCTCTTTTGCCAAGAAGATGATCCAGAATATTCTCATGAATCTCAACTGGGAGGTTCACAAATTGGATTCCTGACTGTGCCAGGGCTGAGATAGTCGATGTGGAGATTTTTGCGGGGAGATGAGATTGGTCCTGACTGGCAGTGATAGGGCTGGAGGCGCAGTCTTCATAAATATCTCGGTAAAGATTTCCTGCACTGCCGTTGGATTCTCCTGCGCTTCGGACTGTAACAAGCGCACTGGCTGGCGAATTGACCGACACTGGCCGGGAAGGGGGAACTCCGGAGATCATGAGGGGTGGTAAGGATGGATACAAGAGATGATCAGGAGGATTAGAGGTCATTGATGTGACTTGCTCTTCTCCAGATGAAAAACTGGTAATATCTATA